CAAAAAAAATACTATTTTAGGTGACCGGGCTATACTGCATATTTATTTAGAGCAGCGGTTCCCAACCGGTGGGTCGCGACCCCTAAGGGGGTCGCATAGGATTTTTGGAGGGGTCGCAATGCCAATATTATTATACAGGGTCGTCCATTTAGCCTGAAACAGTCTAATATGAAAAAAAAAAGTTCTAATAAAAGTTGAGTCAAAAATCATTGCTATCATTTTCTTTTCCCTGGGACACCATAACTTCTATTTGAACATTTTTTTTTCAAAAACGCGTTGTTGTCGAGATCGAGATAGACTCTATCTCAAGTTAAATGGACCACCCGGTATATTCTTCTGCATTTGGCAACACACCTTGGCCTCCGCCGCAAAAGCCGCGCGGCGTTGCATGGGCGCTGGGCGCTGCAGTAGTAAGGAACCCATTTCAAGCCGCGTTAGATGTTGCCGACGTTCCTGATGAAGTGCAGGATAATTTTTTAAAGCTGAGGAATGATTCCACAACACCTGCCCTATTTCAGCAGAAATTCTCGACTTAATTTTGATGTGACAAGCATAGTTCATATCCTTATGTCGACCTGCTTGAGCTTTCTTTCCGGATACTAATACCATTTGCCTCTACCTACCTTCGTGAAAGTGGGGTTATCAGCCCGTTTGCAAATTAGAACAAAGGCCAGAAATAGACTGGGTGTTCAAGATGACATAAGATTGGCTTTAACAAAAACTCAACCAAGAATGTTAAGACTTGTTACGAGCTGCAAGCTCAGTTATCACATTAACAAAATAAAAATTCCCTTTTTGTAATTAGTTACGAAATATTAATATTTTTGTTCAAGATTTCTCGAATAAATAAATTTTGTTTTTTTTCTGCGATTAACAAGAAATGTCAGCATTTTTGACCGGTTGACAGGTCGCAAAACTCAATATTTTGGTATTTTAATTATGGTTCAATAGTTGCTAAGGAATCAATGAATAACAATACGGGAAACACTTTTCCGGCCTAGGCCGGGAAAGTGATTCTCGTACTGCTGAATAATTGGAACCAAAAGACAAACATTTAACAGGTATTTAACCGATCGCAGAAAAAATAGTATGTGTATTTCAGTGAAAAAGCACATTCTCGGCCTTCGGTGTTTGCCGGCCTCGGCTACGCCTCGCCCGTCAACTAACACCGTCGGCCGAGAATGTGTCACTTTTCCACCTAAATACACAATATACTATTATTTATTAATGGGTAGGGGGGGTCGCGACCTTATGAGAAAATCTGTAAAAGGGCCGTGACTAAAAAAAGGTTGGGAACCACTGATTTAGAGGATAAAGTGCAGTATAGCCCGGTCACCTAAAATACCTATTTTTTTGAGTATTTTCAATATAATTTTAATTTGTAATTTTTGAATTAAAGATTTCCGCTAGAAAATTTTCTTCAAAATGCACTATTTGAACGTTTAAACAAACGATTCTTATTCAAAAAAAATACCATTTTAGGTGACCGGGCTATACTGCATATTTATTTAGGGGATAAAGTGCAGTATAGCCCGGTCACCTAAAATACCTATTTTTTTGAGTATTTACAATATAATTTTAATTTGTAATTTTTAAATTAAAGATTTCCGCTGGAAATTTTTTTTCAAAATGCACTATTTTAACGTTAAACAAACGATTCTTATTCAAAAAAATACCATTTTAGGTGACCGGGCTATACTGCATATTTACCAAAATTTGTTAAATTCTGATAGTGTCCTCACCAATGACCTATTAACACAGATAGACAGAACATCCCATTGATAAAATAGCTTTGTTTTGGTTGACTACATGTTTATGGGCCAGGGGGGGTGAGCTGTGAAAGCGGCTAGGAGTAGGGATTCAAATGATTCCGCTACCTCCGCCTCCCCTTTACTATCGCATACTTGGCAACTCTGAAAATGAAAACAGAATCCGTGCTACAAAAGTGTATTCTTATCCTTATATTTTACATGATTTTAGAAAAAGATGCGAATACACTCAGTGCGCACTGATTGACAAATGGAAATTGTCATAAAATACAGGTAGGTCGCATATTGACATGACAATTGAATAGAAGCCGCTGATTGGTGGAAAGGTGGAATTCGAGGTGAAATCGCATTCCACGTGTTAGAGAAAGATACAAAATAACACAAGGATTAATATCGGGTCTTCAAAAAAAAAACCAATCAAAGATTGCTTTGGTTACGAAAACGTACGTCGAATTATTGTTTCTTTATTGGCCAGAATTTTTGACATGACATTTTGACATTAAATTACATTGACTGACATTGTCAAAATTAAAGAAAAATATTGCTAAGACGTACGTTTAAAAAACCATAGCAATCTTTGATTGGTTTTTTTTTTTGAAGACCCGATACATAGTGGGGAGAGATGCGGTTCCTGGGATGTAGTCAACCAATATTATTGTTTATTTGCAATCATATATGTAATCTCGACATTACTGACTTTTTAAAAATTTGAAAGTGACACTTTACCTGTGTCACTTCCCTCTTCGATTTCCCTCACCGATTTCCCTATTCGACTTCCCTCACCGATTTCCCTCACTCTAATTTATTTACCTTTGCTGGCAACAATGAGAACATGTCAGGTAAAAACGTCAAAACAGGTGAATGACATATTTTGGTATGTTTGTTTTATTTTTTTAATATTAAAAAAATTGAATGACCAATCATAATTAATGGTGTGCTTGCAAATAAAATAGTATACAAACCTCGGAGTAAAGTTTTCATTTCTGTCTCGATATTAATAGTCTATATAAATCTCTCGACAGTAATGAAACACTTCCCTACTCGGTATGTAATATACTATTACTGTTCTGTCTATCTGTGTTAATAGGTCATTGGTCCTCACTCATTACAATCCTAAACTATTTACCTATTTTTGTTACCTGCGATGCTAGTGGGTATGGTGTTGGAGCTGTCGTTAGTCACCATATAGATGGCAACGACAGACCTATAGTATTTGCAACTGGTACTTTGTCTAGTTCAGAAAAAAAAAATTGTAATTTGAAAAGGGAAGCTTTAGCAATAATTTTTGCTGTAAAAAGTAATTATATGGTCGAAAGTTTGTATTGATAACAGACCATCAACATTTACAGTTTATTTTTGGAAAAAATAAGGAAATTCCTGTTTCAGCAGCTTCGAGAATAACACGATGGGCTATTACTTTATCTGGATATGATTATGATATCCAATACAAGAAAGGGGCGTTAATTAATAATGCTGATGCTGATGGCTTGTCTCGATTACCTTGTAAAAATCAAACAGATGTAGCAGATTTTTTGTATTCTTTTTGTTTATTGGAAATGATGCCATTAACATCTTTAGACATAGCAAAAGAAACAAATAAAGACATTATTCTAACTAAAGTCAGAGAATTAACATTATCAGGATGGCCTTCAGTCATCAATGGAGGAACGAACTGTCTGTTGAACAAAATTGTATTTTATTAGGCAACAAAGTAGTGTTTCCAATATTGTTTCATGAAGAACATTGTGGCATAGTTCGTACAAAAATGCTTATTCGGTCCTACTGTTGGTGGCCTGCATTAAATGAGGATATAGAAAAATTTATTTCGTCTTGTGATGTATGTCAACAACATCAAAATTTTTCAAATACTAGTTCTCTACTACCTTTTACTAACGCACCATACAATTTTTATAGGGTGCACATTGATTTTTTTTTCAAGGATAAATTTGTCTTTCTTATACTCATTGATCAAAAGTCCAAATGGATGGAGGTGAAATTAATGAAAAATGGTACAAATGCTATTGAAACTATAAATATTTTGGAAGAACTATTTTCAGTTTTTGGTCTTCCAGTCGAGTTAGTTTCCGATAATGGTCCACCATTTAATTCGTCGAACTTTATTTTGTTTTGTCAAGCAAATGGCATTTCTCCAGTAAAATCACCCCCATATACCATCCGCAGAGCAATGGTATTGCTGAACGTGGTGTGCAAACTATAAAAAAAGGCCTAGAAAAAAGTTTGTTTTCTCAAGAAGGTGGAGATACCTATATCAGAAAAAAATATTTTGCGAAAATTGTCAAATTTTCTGTTTACCCACAGGAACGCACCTTTAACCGTTACTGGAATATCTTCAGGTGAGTGTGTTTTAAAAATAATGCCAAGGAATAGATTTGATTTGCTGAAACCTTGCCACAATTCTGTCAAATTGCAGAAGAAGTGTGATTCAAATCCACAAGGAGAAAGGAAAGTGGTTTTGTATAAATTGAATGATAACGCTTATGTCAAGAATAAATTAGCAAAATTGTGGCAAAAGGGTAAAATTATGAAAGTTTTGAGCTTCTGTACATATTTGGTAAGAGTTGAAAATGATATTAAATTTGTTCATTCTGATGATAACTTGCGTCCACAGTCAAGTGTTAGTGTTAACAAACCATTGCTACCAACTGTAGTCTCTCCTGAAATAAGCGAATCTCATGAAGTGCCGGATATAGTGAATAATACTCGAAATGTGACCAATATAAACCCGGAACTGAAAGCCTCCTTCATAACTCTAGATCTTAGAACATTCAAAGAAGTAAAGAGTAGTGCAACTACAATCGTCTTAGAAACACATTAGTCTTTCAATTGTAGATTATCGTCAAAAATCACCAATTTCTCTCACATTTGAGGCTTTTTGGGGGCTTACTTCTATAGACCCTATTTGAGTTGATGTTCAATATTCGAAAACAAGTTATTCGAAATCTTTTTCATGTAAATCCTAGTAATCACTATAAGCCTCTTTTACAAAAAGGTCTAACTCTACCACCATGTCATGTTCAAGATTTAAAAAGCTATGTGCAGCTGCTTTGAGACAAAATATTTTTAATTTCTGGTTTAATCTAATTGTTGCTATATTTTGATGGTTGTTTGTGAGCTTGTAATGTCAAATATCAATTCACTTACTCACTACTTTTGAATGGAAAATAGAAATATTTAAGATTCTACCTCTACCTAAACTAGTTTTGTTTTTACCTTGTTAGTTTGTCGACTCATAACTCCGCCTTTGGGCGCAGTGACTCGTTCCAAATGCGACACAACAATACAAGTTTCGACGTTGTGACCCTCCTTGGAACATTTGATCATAGCTTGGTCGCAGATATTTTTCAATTGTAACAGTTTTTCTCCTCTCCATACCCCATCGGCTGTGACAAGAACTCTGGCTTCGCAGTCCAGTATTCTTTCCGCAAACGAATCCGATGAGAAACCTGCAAACTAAAGATTGGGAGAATTAAAATAAAATTTTTGGTTTGGCCCTTTTAGAATTCGGTACAAAAAATCATTTGTGGCTATTTTTCTGAACTTCTTGGAAATGAATGAATGAATCTTAGAACTTCTTCCTATCCAAAATGCGATAATCTAGGAGAGTTGATTTGCAAAAAATGATAAGAACACAATAATAAAGCCGAAAATCGATGATAAAAAAGAAACCTTTCAGATGAGATGATAAGAGCACTGCAGGAAATTTAACTGCGATACAGACGCTCAGTAGATAGGTAAAAGAAAGATAATTCGAACCGTAATACAGCTAGATATTGGAAGATGTTGTGAGTCTGACATGATTGTTTGCTTCTCAAGATAATTTAAGTCGGCTATCAGTTAAGTTAAGATTTTCTAGATGGTTCAGAATTACCTGACAAGTGAAACTTTTGCCGTGAATATTGGCAAATACCGTTCAATAATCAGAAAACTGGAAGATGTTCTACGAGAGTCAGCGCTCACACCACGTTCTACAGCAGCTACACCTACGACATTTTAAAAACACAGGATACAAAGATTGCATATGATTGTGCAATTCTCGAATAGTAGAATGAGTCAGTAAGAAACTCCAGAAAGAAATTAATATCATTGTGGAATGTTGCATCAACTGAGAGATTCAGATCAACCCACAGCAATTCATTTTTTGTCAGATGGCGCAGCTGATCCTGCTGACCCTGCTAGTCAATATCCCACATCGATGTAGAGGACATTACATAGTCTAGAGAAGTCAAGTTCGTGAGACTAAACATGAATGTGAAACTGCCGTTGGGATCTTACATTACATTGAATCTCTCCGAAACAAGGCAAGAGCAGCCATGGGTTGAGGATCGACTAAATATGTTGATGAACCAAGGCAGCGATGAATAAAACCATAGCTAAACCACAAGTTAGTGACTTAGGACTGCGAAATGCATTCAGCTAAGAAGATGAGATATTGCTATAGAAAATACAAGGAGACTTCGAGCGAAGAAAATCAGTGAAAAGGGCGGTCTCACGAAAGAACTTGGATTCAAGAAGAATGATCGACTATACAACTATGCAGAAGCACAAAGTACTTCCAAAATCAACCACTATGCTTAAAATAAGGCAGGACAAGTATTACTAGAGCCTGATGCGTGGGATAGACAAAGAATGAGTAGAGACTTAAAACTACAAACCGCAAAACACTCGATGGACAGATGGCCATAAGCGCCGGAATTATTGAAGATGATCCAAAAATTCAGTTTTATAAATACTCCAATTCATTAAAGCTTTGAAATAGTATAGGAACCGATCAAGGCATTAGGTAGTCAATAATATGAAATTGCAGACGATACAACCCAACATTAAGTTACTGAGTTTTCTAGCACAATAATCTTTCTATGCGTGTAATTTTTTAATCCGAGAAAACGAAAAATATGGTTATACTTACAACTAATGAATGCACAGCACCAATCCTAGCACACGCCAACAAAGTAATTACGGCTTCTAAAATCATAGGCATATAAACGGCCACTCGATCGCCCTTCTGCACTCCTCTGGATTTTAGTACGTTGGCGAAACGACATACTTCTTCCAGAAGTTTCTTGTAGGTTAATCTGCTGTAGTCGTCTGGATGGTTACCTTCCCTAAAAAAAAAATATGACACGTTAATGGACAGAACCTTAAAGAAGAATTTTTGCATCAAAGAATAATTTTAAGGAAGAAATAAACAAGCTATAGGTACCTAGGCTCTGTTCTTGACCCTTTTTTTTTGTATGTAATTTATAATGATGTGTTGTGCTCCTAACGAAAATAAGAAAGAGTATAGTTACGGCAATGGACTTAATTGGCGCAGTCGATAGGATAGTAGTACAAACTAACAGTTTTGCGGAAGCTACCAATGGTTTCAACCCTAAGTATCCAGATCTTTGGATCGGCAAGCAGAATCGAAAAAAAAAAGACAGAACAACAACTGCAAGCTGTTCATGTGTAGGGTAGGGTAGGTATTCCTCTTCTCATTTTGGAACCAGGACTTGCATAGGGAAAGTTAAGTCTGTATATCTTATACACACAAATTAATTTTATCTTTTGGAGACGAGTAGTTTTGAAAATAAAACATTATTGTAATCAGATTTAGATTATTATCCAGGGTGTCAGAAATACCGAATACCAGAGGATACCATCATTGGTATAAACGGAAAAAAATACGAGGGCGGTTAAATTAGAAAAAAGTTGCCATTTTCCAAGGTTATGAAAAATATATTTTCTTTGTTGCGATTGATTTGTATAAAAAGCAGTTTTAGGTGTTTTTACAAATCACCCTGTATCTCGGAAACTAATAGAAATTTGGCAACAACATACATACCTACCAATGGTGGCCCATAGTATTTTAGACACCCTTTATATTATATAGGTATAGGTATATTATTGGTAGTTATTTATTAGTTATTTTTCTACGAGCCTTCAGAATTAGAAACGAAAACCTTCGAGTATTGTTCACTGTATTGCAGGGCCGCCGCTAGGGTGTTAGCCGCCTGTGTGCCCAGACAATTTTCGCCGCCCCACTCCCGTCTAAAGTTCACGAAGGACCACACAAGAAGGAGACGCGCATCTGTAGTGACGTCACAAGGGTATCGGCGCTTGACAATAATAGGCAATCCTCTTTGCTCATAATCCTTGGCTTGTGTCAATCGTTCGCCGGCTGTCCTTGTCATTGGCTGGATTTCTCCGTCTCTCTACGTAACATCTTTCTTCTCTTCAAAAAACCCAAGTAGGTTGGTCCGCTGTAATGTTCCGGTGCGTCTTTTCCCGACGTTTGACATCCCAATAGTTTGAAAGATTTATTTTCGATAAAACTCGATGGATATGATTTATTTTGAAGTGAATCTTCTTAGGCGGCGGTTTGATATTTGGACGAGAATGGAGAATGATTTCAAAGACGCGTCACGTAACGTCACGTTTTGCGAAATTCCTTTACACGAGAGAGAAGAAAGATATAACGTAGAAAGATGGAGAAAAACAGCCAATGACAATGACAGCCGACGAACGAGTGACACAAACCAAGGATTATAAGCAAAGAGGATTGCCTATTATTGCCAAGTACCGATACCCTTGTGACGTCACTACGGATGCGCGTCTCCCTTTTGTGTGGTCCTTCGTCTTTACCCAGACTCATACGAGTCATACGTCTGAAAGTCTAAAAGTTGTATAAGGGGGGGGATACTTCTACCACCTGTATGGCGCTGCACATGATTTTTTTTTGCAGGATCAGCGGCGGCACCCCTCTGCAATCGGCCGCCCCTTTAAATCGGCCGCCTGTGTGTTTTGAACACACCGCACACATGGTAGCGGCGGCCCTGCTGTATTGTTATATAAAATTGCATTGGTGCAGGTAGGCCGAGGGCGCCGAGGCTTTGATTAACGCCCCGAACTGGATTCCATTATGTGATTTGAAGAAACAATAAGCATTTATAGTGTTCGAATAAATATTTCCGTATGCATCAGTGTGTATCTGCCGGTATACACTTTATTTTTGAAGTGACAACTTAAAGTCCTTCGATTTAATATTGTCCGTCGTTTTCAATCTGACACTTTCCGTATGAGGAGCGAGGGGGTGAAGCTTATGGCAAAAACAGGTGTGACGTCAAGGTGACCATTGGCGTTCTAATGTAGGGATCCACCCACCAGCTCACATTCCATTGGAGTATCAGATTAGAATCGAGGGACTTTAGAACGTCGTTAGGCGCGTTTAGCACATACTTTTTTCTGGGTAATGTAGTGAATGAGATTGAGCTGTCACGCCTGAATTGTTAACACTGATTTGGTCGAGAGTCGAGTTCAACCAAGCAACAGAGAAAACAGTCAGCAATGCGAGTGAGAGAAAGATAGCCCGATAAGGATTCAATCGAGACTCCTAGAACAAATCATTGGCAACATTTTAATTGCTTGTGAAAGGTTGTCTGGTAGTGGTAATGGCAAATAGATGACGTCATCAGGTGGTTCTTATAGAGATTTGCTTTATGTTTAGGTATACACATGACGTCATCAGACAACCTGAGCTAGGACTCTGTCGTAAGGGCCGGTTTCTCAATAGCAAGTCACCTACGAGTTAAGCTCCAGGGTAAACATTGCAATTCAACACGTTAACCCTAGAGTTAAAACCAACCCGGGGGTGACCCGCTATTGAGAAACCAACCCTAAACAATAGAGATATATTTTCTCTACCTCTATTAGCGTCCCTTCTCTATTGATTTCGAAAAGAAAAAGGAAGATAGCAAGTGCCATGGTGGGGACAACGATCTCTATATTCTCTATCTGTTACAGAGTCCCCCCTGCTTCTTTTATAACCTTATTGATCCAAACCAAAGAGGATACACACCGATTCTTGATACACACCTAAAGGATTGTTTATCGGCTTCGTTTTTGGTAATCGCCGCCATATTTGTGTATCATCATTTTCGACGACATAACTGAGTCATCAACTGTTTTTAAACAGCCTACATCAAGGCAAAGGCGAGAAATAACATGCTGCTATGTCACAACTGGCGGGGGGGGGATTTGTTCTACACAGGCCTTATGAGGATAGGCTATCCTGTAGTAGTAGTGTGTATCATCCTTGTATCTAAACCCCGAATGTCAGGTTTCAATATGGCGGCATTTGTCAATTTATCTAACCTACGTTTTTAATCGTTTTAATATTGGATTTTTGAAGTTTTCACTTCTGTCGTGTGATCTTAAGCACACGCCCAAGGTTCCTAAAGTTAATAGGTTGTCTGGTAACAGGGTTGTTTAAAAGAGGTAGGTTGCCTGATAACTTTGATTAATGACGTCATCAAGTTACCCCTTGCCAGAGCCGCATTCTTTCGGACCGGATCAGTTGATCAAAACGCGTTATGTTCCAGTAATCACGTTCTTTCGTATTTTGATATTTGACAGTTAGCAAATCATGATCCGAAAAAATTCTGAACAAATTGAACTTTTTTTTTGTGATTAGTTTGTTCCGATCACGAAAATCTGGACAGCGTTCTTTCGGACATTAAAATTAAAACATGTTCCAATTGAACAAACGGATCAGGATCTCGGAATCATGATTCAAATATATTGCGAAAGAATGCGGCTCCGACAACCTATTAATTTTAGGAACCTTTGATCTGGTAATGGGAAACAGATAACGTCAACTGGGGTGCCTAATGGAGATTTGCATTATGTATAGGCACCCAAGATGTCGTCATAAAAGTTATCAAGCAACCTACCTTTATCAAACCACAACCTTGGCACATACCTTAATTTTTCCGTCTTTTATGATATTTTTGAATTCTACGGAAAGTTCCAGACATATTCCATGCACAACAAAGTCCTAACATGATGAGTTATGTCCAGATGTTACGAGTTTTCTCGACGAATCCAAATGAGCTAGACAAAGATGTATAGTCCGTCGTTTTTAATCTGACACTTTCCGTATGAGGAACGAGGGGGTGAAGCTTATGGCGAAAACAGCTGTGACGTCAGGAGACCATTGGCGTTTTAATGTAGGGAGTCACTATGCAGCTTACATTTTTTTTTGGAATATTAGATTAAAATCGAGAGACTTGTATATCGATTCACATTGGACACGAGATAGAAATATTAACTTTCAAAAAGGTGTTCAAATTTTCCGCGCGCTGCCAATGATGTTTCACGTTTCACCCTGTCGGCCATGTTCGTTCCAGTTCGGAGGGATCTGATGACATTTAGGGAACTTACCTTGGTTTTCACCAACTATTTTAGGAGAGCCTTGACGATAAGTATTTCCTAAACTGACATTTTTACATGGAGAAATGTCAGTTTAGGGAATACTTATCGTTAAGGCTCCCCTAAAATAGTCGGTGGAAACGGCCATTAGTGTACTGGAAAAGTATTTCTGTTTCTGTTCATTACTTCCTTTAACACGCTGGGAGAAAAATCAAATCTTCCAGTCGTAAACGCCTTAAACCGAATTTTCGCGACGAATGTATAGTTCATACCAAATAAACTTATAGTCGGGTTGTCAAGCTCGGCCGGCACAGGGTTGCCGTCTCTTGCATATTTTCCTTTTGTCAAAATACAAAAAACAACCCATTTGTCAATCATCACATAAAATATAATAATAACGCTCAGTACCTATTTTATTTACAGCCAGCTGAATACTATAAATAATTCAATTTTATATGAATATTTGAACCATCAAGAATATTTCCAATTATTCTGGATCACTGAAATCGCTAGAATCGCTAGAGTCTTCATCAACATTGATAATAAGTGGAAGAACCTCTTGCCTATCCATTACTTGTTCCCTGTTATACCACTTGTCAATTATTCCTTCTGTATGTCTGATAGAATTTTTCCACATTTCAGGGGTAACAGTTCCCAGTGCCTCTCGCCACATTTTTAAACAAGCATCTTGAGTCAATATGTTGGTTATAATGTAATATACAATATGTTGGTTATAATATAAATAACAATATGTTGGTTATAATAGTTTTTTGCTATTCCCCAGATAAGTTCAATCGGGTTAAAGGTACAGTGGTATGGAGGTAGTCGTAAAACTTTATGTCCATACTGTTCTGCTAAGTCATCTACCACATACTTTTTTGTTGGTTTATTCCTGAAAAAAGCAATACTTGAGAAGTTGAGCATAAAATGCAAACAATTCTGGTATTGTAGCCTGTAGGTATACTTACTTACCGTGCAACAATGGTCACAAGTTCAGATTTCAATGCTGTATTTGGATACTCAACTTTCTGTTCGGTTAACGAACTATTAGGTGTCTTCGTTAATAACATTCTGTGGTAAGGAGCATTGTTTATAACAATGACAGATGGTTCACGGTTCACTCCTCAAGTTCTTCAACAGCTGATTTTCGAACCAACGTAAAAAGATTTGCTGATTAATTTCTCCATGATAGTTAGTTGTTAAGTTGAGTTTTCGATGAGAATACGAGAGATGCACCTTCAATGAATCCATTTTCAGTGCTAGCATGAAGTATGATATATCTAAAAAAAGTATTTCTTTGTACATATAATACAACTGCTCTCTGTATTCATGTTTATATTCACCTTTCACCATCAACTTTGGTAGTTTTAACTATTCGCTTGTTGTTGTCTTGCCACGAGCGGTTAAAAGTACCATTTTGAAAAAATCCAAGTCTTGTCCAAGAAAACAAACTGGTACAAAGCACTGCTATCGAGCTTTGAAACATCACAGACTCTCTTCGAAGTACATCGTTTCTCAGAAGGCGATTCCAAAACTTCGTTATTTTTGACTGCCTTTGAAATAGCGCAGACAGTGGACATACCTACTAAAGTTCAACGCCTTTGCTACCTGCTAAAAATGAGAGAAAATAAAGTCCAAATTGAAAATTCCTAGTTGGTCCTTGGTCCACGAAATAAACTCACCTTCCTAACAGCATTTAAGGGACATAAAGGGCCATAATTATCGTATCGCGTTCTCGTTTGAAATATTGTAACAAGGATGCGATTAGTTCTTTGCAACGGCTGTTAAGCTGCTTCGGCATCTTGTACACTTCGCACTACAAGCTGCTTTTAAAAAACAAGCTCACAAATAATAGCACAAACCAAAATCTCGTAAACTGCCAAAACGCAATCAAAATTCAATTTGTCAAGAATTTAATTTGGCAACGTTACATGTTTTGAAGTGGTGTTACCAACTGAATGGACAGCGGGAAATTCAAATTCCAATTAAGTCAATCCGACGCCGAATATTTTCACGGTTGGCGATAACAATTTTAAAAATGGCGTCATCGATGTCACAACAACAAGTTTATTTGGTATGAACTATAGGTAGTTCATCCAAGGACGAACCATAGTGCGTCGTGTGACGTCACGAGTTAAAACGCTGGCTAAAAGCTGCGTCCATGCTTTCGGCGAAATACGTTGAATATGACGTCATGAGTTTCTCGCAAGAGCGTTTGTGTTCATCAAATCATGGATGTAGTTCGTCGCGAAAATTCGGATATAAGTCTTATACACCATTCGGACAAGTTCGGAAGCGCCACATTTTTACCGCGCATGCAAGAGTGAAGTCGTGCCGCGACGTTGCCACTACTCGATATTTTTTCACTTCCTTTCATTGACATTTGTCCGTTCTCAGCTGTTCGTTGTTCATGTTTAGTGCAGTCAGTCAGTAGTTAGTAATTTCTCACTGCCTCGCCTGCTCTGATGCGACGTATCCTCATTCCTCGTGTCCTCCTCACACGTTGTGTTTATTTAAATTTTTGTTGAGATTTTGTGATGTGAATACCGGAAAATTTGTAGCTGCAATTGCCGTAAGTAGAACTCATATTACGAATTATATTTTATTGGTTAGCAATTTCAAGATAATACAGCTTCGGCAAATAGGTTTATATTTTTTATTTGGGGCGCTTCTCTAGCCCAGTGTAGCTGGTGAAGCCTCTAAGCAAAAACAGCTCAATCGTGCAACGTCGAAACAACGTGTATCGAGGCTGGCCGTAGACCTTGTGTGCTGGCATCGCGGAATAGACAGGCGCGAAGAAAACACCACCGTACCACCGTTCATCTCTCTCTCTCATTGTAACCTTTTTAGTAAGACGCTTCATTTTTTCTGTTCAGAATTATTATTTGTTTATTGTTCAAAATAAAATACATTTAAAAATACAGTATGCAGTCCACATAATTTATTAGCTCTACGAAAAGACGGTGAGAATTCACCATAGAAATTTTGGTCCTTATCGAGCGAATGTAATTAAGTTTTGAACAAGTTTGGACTTGAAGCTTAAAAAAAAAAAGAGAACTAGAACACACAGCTGTTGTTTGGATTTCTACGCACCTAGGAGGGTGATTCAACCAATTGTGAATTTATATGCCCAATCCTCAGGAATCCAGCATACTGTAAGTCCATTCCAATTTATATATTTCCGTCCTTTTATATCCTCTGTGTACCTAGTTTTATATTTTATGCAATATGGCTACTGAGTTGAAAAATCTCAGACAAAAAAGGGGTACATACAAAGGCACTCTAACTAGGACAAGAAAATACTTAACGGAGCATGTTGATTTACAAAATTTAACTGATGATATCATATCTCAATTGCAAATTAGATTAGAAAAAATAGAACCACTTTGGGACGAATATTTTTCCGTACAGGATGAAATTGAGATTTTGGAAGACAATTCTGATCCTGACGAACGCTCAGAATTTGAAAATACCTACTGCGAGTTGGTTGGCCAAATTAGGTCAATTTGTAACAAATATTTGGAGCCTCAAAAATCCCAGAAGTCTGGTTCTGTCTCTTCTAACAATTCTATTCATTCCAACCAAATTAGCTCTAATGTAAAGTTGTCTCCTATAACAATACCATCGTTTGACGGGAATTACACAAATTGGCTAGATTTTAAAGAAAGCTTCAAATCTTTAGTGGGTGAAAATGCATCTATATCAGAGGTCGAAAAGCTAATACATTTAAGGTCGTCATTAGGTCAAGAACCCTTAGAGTTAATAAAATCCTTAGAATTGTCAGCTCAAAATTATCAAAGAGCGTGGGACTTGATTTTAGATAGATACGAAAATAAAAAAATTATTATTCATAGCCATTTAAGGGCGATTTTCGAATATCCACAATTATCTAGCGAGTCTCATAAAGGGTTAAGGCAATTATTTGATAATACAAACAAACATTTATATGCTTTAAAATCCATGGGTGAAAAGGTACAAGAGTGGGACCGCGTTATGATTTATGTCATTTCCAATAAATTTGATGGCACTACGAAAAGGGGCTGGGAATCGTACCAGTACTCGGGTGATTTGCCTACGTGGGAAGATTTAACAAAATTTATGAAAAATCGGTGTGAAATTTTGGAAAAACTCGAATATACAATTCAAGACGGGAAGCAAAAGACTCAAAACGTTAAAAAAATGGGGTATAGTAATTCTTATGCAGCCACAAACGAGTCAGGCTTTCAAAACATCGAAAAAGAATGTTTAAACTGCAAGGAAAATCACCTGGTTACTGAGTGCCCACAATTTTTAAAATTATCCATAACTGAACGTATAAACCTAGTGAAAAAATTAAGATTGTGTTTAAATTGTATAAAAGGTAACCATCCATTTTGGAAATGCCATTATAAAAAATGTTTCAAGTGCAAACGCCCACATAATGTTTTATTGCATCTACAAAAACCTGAAACTACAAACGCGGTAAGTACAAATACAACATTTGTCGGTGGAGGCACTCCAAATTTGAGTCCCGCATCCGCCTCCCAAGTACCTCAGCACCAGGTTCCCCTCGAGGTTCTCTCTGTCCCACTATCACAGGATACAATTGAGAGAGAGGGTATCCAGCGTTCTTTCGCTAAACTCGCCGAAAATATCGAACAGCTTCTTCGACGAGACAAAGCACCTGGGGCTGAGGCAAGCGTTAGCGGGCTAACCTGTTCCACTGACTGCGCTGTTGCCGATACAGGAAGTATTTCTCAGATTCTATTGTCAACTTGTATAATAAAAGTATTTAATGGTTTCGATTTTGTTTTTTGCAGAGCTTTGCTTGACAGTGGCTCCCAGAGTAATTTCATTTCACAGGCAATGGTAAAAAAACTGAATTTAAGTCCAACCAAAGTGGATCACGTTGTCAAGGGTGTTGGGTTGGCACTGTCAAACATAAGCAAGCAAGTTAGTGTTTCTATTGGCTCATGCCACACTGATTTTGTAATGAATATAAACTGTCTAGTGTTACCACAAATCACGGATAGGCTGCCACTCGTATCTTTTGATAAATCTATTTTAAATATTGCTGAGTTGCAAAATATGGCAGACCCTAAATTCAATATACAGAGTGACATAGACATGTTGCTGGGCTCTAGTATTTTCTGGAAAATCATAGGCACAGATCAAAAATCACTCGGCAAGAATTTACCTGTGATCCAAAGCAGCAAGTTTGGCTGGATTATAGCGGGAAATTTAAATATAAAATCACACTCACAGGCTAATTATTCGGTTTCAAATTTAAATATTAATCAAGGATCATCTTTAGAAAAACAAATTGTTAAATTTTGGGAGATTGAAGAAGTACAACCTAAAAAGATTTTGCTTTCAGAAGCCGAAAGGTACTGTGAAGAGCATTTCTCCATAAATACACAGAGGGATGCCACAGGTAGGTTTATTGTCAAGATGCCGTTTAAGGAAATTCTAAAAGATTTAGGAAAGACTAGAGAGAACACCCGAAAAAGATTTAATTTTTTGGAAAAAAGATTAAATAAAGACAAAGGCTTGAAAAAGGAATATTCTACAATAATTCAAGAATATAAAACTTTGGGTCATATGAGGGAGATTAATCTAGAAAATATAGCAGATGATGGCTATTTTTTGCCGCACCATGCGGTGATAAAATCTTCTTCATTGACTACAAGGTGTAGAGTGGTTTTCGATGCATCGGCAAAGTCATCTTCCGGTCTTTCACTTAATGATGTACAATACTGTGGACCTACCCTGCAACAGGATGTCTTTTCAATTTTACTTAGGTTCCGCAAATATAAATGGGTAATGACGGCAGACGTATCCAAGATGTACCGCCAAGTGAAAATGCACGAAGACCACACGAAGTATCTTAGAATATTCTGGAGACAGGAGCCGACCGATAAATTGAATTGTTATGAATTGCAAACAGTTACTTTTGGTACTGCGTCTGCGCCATATCTGGCAGTTAGATGTCTAATGGAACTTGCTAACCAAAATAAAAATCGTTCACCGCTTGCTAGCAAGGTTATTTCCAATGATTTCTATATGGACGATTTATTGTCAGGTTCAGACAGCGCAGAAGAACTAATTTTAGTCCAAAAGGAAATTACGCAAATTTTATTAACTGCAGGCTTTGAACTGAGAAAGTGGCTCTGTAACAATGGAAAGATTTTAAGGCAGTTTGAAGTTAATGAAGGTCAAGATTTTAGTATTTTACATATTGGTGAAGACGAACAAAATAAGACTCTTGGTGTCTATTGGAATTCTCACAAAGATTTGATGCAATATGTAATAAATAATATCACAGAAAAGGAGGTGGCAACCAAGAGACTTATTTTGTCAAATATTTGTCAAATATTTGATCCCTTAGGATTGCTTGGGCCAATAATAATTGTGTCTAAACTTATAATTCAAGATCTTTGGAGATTAAAAACTGACTGGGACGAACAGATACCCACAGAACTAAATATCAAGTGGTATAATTTTTTGAAACAACTACCTATTATAAATCAATTTGAAATCCCCAGACATGTTTGCACATCAGATTATGTTTGTATAGAATTACACGGTTTCTCAGATAGTAGTGAAAAGGCCTATGGCGCATGCTTATACATCCGTTGTGTTCTTTCATCTGGAGTGATCTCGAGTAAATTATTATGTGCCAAGTCACGCGTGGCACCAGTTAAACAAAAACTAAACTTACCACGCCTAGAGCTGTGTGCGAGTACATTGCTTGCTAATCTTGCCCATAAAACTTGCGAGGCTTTAGAAATTAATTTTAATAATAAAATATTCTGGACCGATTCGATGATCACTTTATGTTGGATACGTGGCGAAGCCTCCAGATGGAAAACCTTCGTAGGCAATAGAGTAAGCGAGATTCAAACGCTCACAAATTCAAAGGATTGGTATCATGTGGAATCGAGCAAGAATCCAGCAGATCTATTGTCAAGAGGTACTACCCCGGAATTATTAAGGTCTAACAACTTATGGTGGAATGGACCAGATTTTTTAACGCTTCCGCAAGAAGCCTGGAATGTACAAAATGTGATTCCAGCAGAACTGGAAATTCCAGAGGAAAGGTCTATAACCACTCTCAGTGTGGAAGATAATTCTGTAATAACCCAACTTTTGACTAATTATTCTAGAATTCAAAAGATTCAAAGAATTCTCGCTTTTATGTTTCGATTTGCTAAAAATATTAGAAACAAAAATTTACCACTTATTGCTTGTGATGAAAATGAGGTTGAGCCTGAACCTTTGAGTGTGGAGGAACTAGAGCATTCTATGAATTTTTTGATTTCAGAAGTTCAGAGGCGCTATTTTGCTAGGGAATATAATTGTTTACAAAATGACTTGCCTCTGAATAAGAAAAGCACCATTTTAGGATTAAATCCATTTATGAAAAATAATCTCATTAGGGTAGGTGGAAGGTTGAGGAATTCATCTTATAACTTTGACAAAAAACATCCTATATTACTACCAAAGTCTCATATTTTGACAGAACTAATTGCAAGACAAGAACATAAGCGATTAATGCATTGTGGTAGCCAGTTACTATTGTGTTCCTTAAGG